ACGCGATTCACGCCCGAATATTATTTTAATTAAAAGGCTGTCTCTCGTTCTTCGTTCGACTGGCGCGAAACTTGGGTAGAACATGTCGTTTAACGCAGATTCAACGGGATTTTTCAATCAACACGCCAGCATATATATCAGTTTTCCTTCCCGAGATATTTTCTCATCTTTTATCGTCCGGATTTTGGTGTTATATTTGCCTTTAGCCTGTCCACGAAACAACCGTTTGCTTATATAACAAACGACCAGTTTGGAAGACGATCAACGGCAGTCGACCGCGGTTAGAAAACCCGTGGATACGATTTATCAACGTTCAAGAATGCAGATTAACTTTCTCGCCGATAACGCGGTCTCTCCTCTTTCCGTTCAAGGAAAAGTAATTTAAACTCTGTCTCGATCCGATCTTTACCGGTTATCGCACGCAAAAATCTCTTGGGTCCAACCGCGCGTCCACACTGTAATCCGATTTGATTCTCCCATGCGTACTTTTTCTAATGGAGTCTAAATATTTGCCTATGCCGATGCATAACTGATTTGCACGTAATTTTACGAGCCACGGTTCAACTACCAACGACGGGAGGAGGAAGTAACGAAATCTCCCTGGATTCGCAAAGAAAACAGCGGAGCAACGGAAGACGTAATTATGCGTACTGGAATTGGAAACGAACGAGCCTGGTAAAATATTTAAGAACACGTTGGCCTTGGACCGAAAATATCGGCCGATATTAGCGTTAGTGTCATGATATGAAGTGTTAAAAGAATACGAGCGAAAAACGCGTCTTTCGAACGAATTGCGAAATATAGCGTAACTACACGAGAAAGGCCGATCGATTTTCACGAAACGACGAGTTGTGCGATTCCTTTTGCGTTACGACATGACGCGCTTTGTCCTGTATGTCGTGAAATGACGCCGATCTTTGAGCAGTGAACAACCGAGTGGGAATGGATCCCATAGAAAACAAAGGATAAATAAACGAATAATACCGACTTCCAATTATACGTGATATTTCGCATTTCTTTGAAATGCGAAACAACGCATAAATCAAACGAAGAAACAAAGGATAATTTCTAGTACGTTTTCCTTACCTGTCTTTCCATCACTCCATCCTCCGGAAACGTTCCAAAATCGCTGCATGATCCCGCAAACAAACGACTCGTCCCTATCGCCTTAGAAATTTCTTCTCTTTTTCCTTCTCTTTTCTTCCAATGATCTCAGAACGTTGCGATGAAAAAATCGCGAAAACATATTTTCGAGCAGGACATCATTTTGCGTGTACACGTAAGGACGCACCGTTAGTAAAATCGGCAGACATCACAACGCACGAACGATCAAAGGAACGATCGTTGAAACACCGCGTATCCTTGTGCAGCGACGAGAAGCAGGTTTCACTACATCGTTATTACTATTCTGACGACCGTTTCCGAGAAACTGCTCTTCCAGAGTTCCTGCCTGAACGGTTTTTACCGTTCCCACATGACTAACAGGTTGGCCGTGAACGCTGACCAAAACTTTTGTCCGTACACTTTGCACTAAATATGCTATTTGGCTTTCTTTTACTATATAACGGAACGATTAATGTCTATGTATGACGAACCAGAAAAGGATAATACTCGCAGGAGGGAAAGGAAAACAGCAACGATGCTATCGAAAGACTTGTTGCGGTAGGTCTACCCACGCGCTTCTTGGCTATTTGGAAGAAGACAGTTCGAAAATATTTCCCAGTTTTCCGTATCGGCCGGGCCGTCGCTTTTATGTAAGTATTCGTCCTTAGGGCTCGAAAGGTCTAATATACCGAACACAAACGTGTTTGCAGTTCGACCCCGTTATCTGAAAATTCCCGCGTAAACAAATTAGCTATTCGTTTATTCGTTACGTATTCTTCGATCGTTCTCGAAACGTTTAAAGAGTATCGAAATCGCGCAATAATAATAATTTCGAAGGATGATCGTTGAAAAATCGAACGAAAATTCGTTGAGGAAATAGGACGCGACATGGAACACGATGTTACTTGCGCGACGTCTCGCACTCGACTGTGAGGTCGCCCGTTCAGACCGAAGACCGATTTAAAGCTAAGCCAAAGGCTGCCGGCCGATATCTCGGGGAGGACCGATTTTCCCTTCAGTTTTCCCGTGATTGCGGCTGAAATTGAAGGCATGCCTTGTGCTGCGGATAAAAGCTGGCAGGTAATTAACCTTCTAGGTGACGGTACAATACGGGACAAAAGAAATTGCCATCGCCTGACACGTCAAAAATCATAAGTGGGCTCGAGGGCATTTAGGCTCGGGTGATTAATCTTTGAAACTGAAAAATTAGCGGAAGATCGATCGGAAAGATCTTCGGATAAATTCAGAGGACACGAAGAGCAGAAATTCGGTAAATTCTGATTTCGTGACCGGATCTGGAAACTTTCAAGATATATTAGACCGAAGTACCTAGTCACTTTAAGTGCTTCTATCTCCAAGTAAAGATCGTACTCCGTCGTGTTCTCGCAATCGATATCTCGATGCAACAGCGTATTTCAACCGATATCTCCTTTATTTTATCTGTTATAATCTTGTATACCTTGAGCAAAATGTTTCGAATAAAATGTAATGATCGATACATTGTCATATCTTTCGCACGTGTTTATTGATTAGATAATTTTTTTTTTAAATAAAGATATTTGGAATCGAATGTCAAACTTAATTAGCTCAATGATAATCATCATTAATTTCATCTGCCCCCTTTCTTATCATCGTTTCTCGTAACGAAACGTGCGTGTGTGTGCGCGCGCGTGTGTGTAATATATATGTGAACACCTATAACGATTTTAAGTCCCCAGTTCAAAGACTTCCCCCGGCTGTCTATTGTTCGTTATCTCTGTCTACGCATAGGGGCCGATCTTATGTATTTTCGAGGGGTTTCAAACTACAATAAAACAAAGAACATCGTCGTTTAAAACACCTGGAACTTTTTTCGCCAAGCATATTGGAAATGAATAGTGAAAATTAGTTTCACATTAATTTCACAATAGCGAAAATAAGAATTTCCATGAAGCTGACAAATATTTCCTCCTTTCTCGACAAGTTGGCAATTTGACAACCAGAGAGTCTGCTTTGACTGTGCACAAAAGCAAAATATTTCTTTCAATAGACCTACTTTCAAGTTATCAATTTTTCATTCGATTTTGTGTTTTATTCCAAATACTCAACGACCGAAAATATACAAGCCTTTTGTTGTGTAACCTCGTGTGTTGCTCTCGAAGCAAAGTTTTCAATGCAATAACGGATTATGGAATATACGATATGGTTTTTAAAACGATTGCGTTACAGTTATAAAGCCTTTACTTTCTTTGACAAAAATATAACATCTTGAATAAAATATATTCAAGAGTAGATTAAACTGTTTTTTTTTTTTTTTTTTATACTAAATAATATTTTATTTGTACACGTAGATTTACTCATGTCGATTGCTTTTTTTTTATTATTATAACAATGCAACAATAACTTATCACTGAAATCTCTGACAAAAATTATATTCTCGAAATTATAAGTAATAATTAAATTTAACCTCTGAGTTTATAGTTTTAGTTACATTGATATTTTTGGAATTCCTAAATAATAATTATATTAAAATCATAAAAATATCACTTTTTCTGTTAAATAAGTTTTACTAGTAGAGACAGTTGTGAGATTAATACTGAAAATCATTCTTTCACTACACATATATATTCATATTTTATATTTAATATAATATATATATATTATAATGTTATATTTACATAATACATTCACCAAGATAATAAAGATAGACTAATACAGTACTGGCATATATATGACTCTATTTGTCAGGAATGACTTCCAAACCCTGAAAAGAGACAAAAATTATGTCAAATATTGTATATTTTAGTATACTAATCAAATTTTAACTAATCAATCTGATATTGTATAATGTTACAAGAAATAACAAGTTATTAAACAGTTATAATACCATATACCTACATTAAACTTCCAAAATCGTTTACCACCAAATTCATAGTCTCTAGCATATCCCACTTGCTCAATTATATTGTTATTGTACATTCTTCCATATCGCTGTAATAGCAAAATATAAAGAAATTAGCTCATAAAAACCTACTTAAATTTGTTTTAAATATTGATTGAAACAACTACAAAGCATTTGTGCAATAAATAACACATATATAAAATTGGCCATTACATAATAATTGTTTTAAAACGCTTAAATTTTTACTCCAGATAAAACGAAAATCAACCGGAAAACCCGGAAAGATAAAACGGAGTCATATAAATTGTCACTTCGTTGCAATATTAAATAATCTTTCTTCAAATGGTTATTATATTGAGGTTATGTTACAAAAATTACTTACGTTCCCGATAAAATACTTATTTATGTATGGTGAAATGTGAGCAGGTATAGCTGTAAACACTACTATTATACCTAATGGTATCATAGCATTATACCACATTTTTAGCAAATATTTAAATCTATATAATGTATCAAAATTTTCTAGACAGTTACGTCAATGTCTACTCAATCAATGTAATGCGCGTTCAACAGCACAGAGATACGAATCATCTAAATTTAATTCTCTTCGTTACTATGCGTTTCTTAATAAGAAATATCACGTCTGTATTATTCTTTTTATTGTTAAGTTAGACATCAACTAAAACTTTCGAAATTAACAAGATATATAAAATATAAAAGTTGGTTAACTTATTATTAGAGCAATTTTATTATTATAATAGATTTTGAGTTCTAAGAAATCTGATTTGGTAATAAATATTAAATGAAATTACCTTTCCCTTTTTTACAATATTGCATTAAACTTTTGATTGCATGTTTTAAAATACTTCAGATGTGCTAAACGCGCGTTTTATATGTATTTGTATTGCTATATGTAGATAAAATCAATTATTTAGTTCGAAATTTGAAAAATTAAATACAAAATGAATATAATTTTTAACATCAACTTGATATAAGATTAAAAATTATAATAATAAATTATGATAAACAATTTGCGCTAACCAAATAATAATGTATAATTATTGAAATAGGGTAAGTAAATACAACACGAACACAACTATTTGAAGCGAATAAAAGGTTAAATGTTCAAAAGCTTTTAACATTTCTTTATAGTATTGAATTTATCTTCCGTATTTATTAATGTAGTTTTTAATTAATAATACACAACAAAAATCTGATTTATTTTATTCAAATTCATTTAGAATGATATAAAAGCTACAGCACTAACGCCGGTAGAAAGTTTTAAAAAATGTAATTAAACACGTGGTATGTATTATACAACTTGAAAATTTATATTTTGTTGTTAGATTTATTATTCACAACATACATCATTCATATAAGATTTATATTATTGCTTTTTAACATTATTATAAATTAGTTTAAATAAATTTTGGACAATTTATCCTTCCTTTTCCATAACGTCATGATAAGTTATCATAAAGTTTACGACGTAATTTGATAAAAAGATACATATATCTTCAGATTCCACAAATTTCTTTTCACCCGCTTAATTAATTTACACTTTTTCATAACACGATCACATTTTCGATGGTATTTAATTACTTAATGCATCAAAATGGTAAGTATCATGGCAAACAATTATGTTTATAAAAAAAGAGAAAAGGAAAAGAAAGATTTTGTGATGTTTGAAAGATTAAATGTTTTAGATATTTTATTACAATGATGAAGTAGTTTTTAATGAACTGTAATGAGTTAATTTAATAATTTAAAAGTAAACATAATTTTATATATATATTTTTTCTAGGAGAGTTTAAGGAGAAGTTTCAAACCACCAAAGATGTTGCTAAGACTGTATTCTCTCGTTATTTTAATATTAGATCTTGTGACACTTTTATTTGGAATATTTTTTGCTATCTTAATTGCATTATATAGAATATTTAGACCTCCTCCTTTAAAAAATCTCTATGGGGAAGTCGCAATGGTAATAAAATTCTATACCCTTGTTTATGAAGAGTTATTAGGTATGAAACATTTACATTTTAGGTTGTATTTTAGGTTGTCGGAGCTGGTCGAGGCATAGGTAGGGAATTAGCAATTCATTTGTGTCAACTTGGTGTTAATGTTGCATGTGTCGACATTAACAGTGAAAATTGTGATACTACTGTACACTTAGCATCTAAATCAGTAGGAGTTGCTAAAATGTATATTTGTAATATAACAGATAAGGATGAAGTAAGCATAACATTTATAAAATATATATTTATATTATTTAATAAGTATTATACATTGATTTAATTGTAAATAAAATATGATAGGTAGCTCGTATAGTGAATATTATTAAATCAGAGTTAGGTGAAGTTACAATGCTTTTCCATTGCTGCAGTATACCAAGTCCTAGAGCATTACTTCAAGATCCACCTGAAATAAGGCATACAATTGATTTGACGATTCTAAGTCATTTTTGGGTAAGTATCTTTAGAATGATACATAGCTTATTGCAGTAGTTATAAATTTTTGTATTACATTTTTGTTTTCAGTTATTGGATACAGTTTTACCATGCATGGAACGGGCTGGAAAAGGGCACATAGTGGTTCTATCATCTGTGGCTGGCCTTTCTGGTACTGCCACAGGAGGAAACAGAGTTTCTTTGTCCACTGCACAATTTGCAGTTCAAGGATTAGCTGAATCATTACATACTGAATTAAGACATTTGAATAGTAACATAATAATTACTTTAGTTCACGTTTATCCATTTATTGTAGGCGCAGAAATAGCAAAAGATATTCGTTTTAGGTAAGCAATCAAATGATGATGTTTGATTTATTGAAAATTTATTTTTCACAATTCTTCCAGAATACCAAGTTACTTTGGTACAATGCCCGCCACAGACGCAGCTGAACAAATTTTAGATGGAGTTCGCAGAAATTATGCAGAATTCAGCGTGCCTGGATATTTACTTTACTTAGGTCATATTCTTAGGTAAATTGAAGGTTAATATTACCAAGTCTATAAAGTTTTATTAATAATTAATATTTTACACTTGTAGAATACTTCCAAAGAAGGCATCATTTATGTTGCGTGACTTGCTAGACACTGGTGTTGATTTTGGATGATATTTAATTTTTCTAATCAAATGTGAGAATTTATTTTTATTATGTTAATAAGATTTTATAATGATAACAAAAGAACTTTAATGTACTGAAAAACGAATATTTTATTTAATTTCGTATATGTATAATTTGATCTTTGAAGTATTTTTTTTGTAATTCATTTTATTATTGTGGTATAAAATTTCATATATATTTTTACTTATATACGTTTTTATACATTCTAACATTTATTTAAAACGAAATACTCTAGTTTATTAATAAATAATCACATGGGCTGCGCATAAAATATTTTATGACACAACTGAAATATCAATTAGCAGTTAAGATAGATTTTATACTTACGTTTCATGTATGATACATACACACGTGACATAAGTATTAAATATTTAATAAACTGAATAAGTACTAGTAGGCACTAAGTAATTACTACACAAATACTATTCACAATGCAAAAATAACCTATGTACACAGCGTCAATCTTATGACGATTTAATAGCAAAATATCTGGATGTACAGAAGACTATACTTCATTTCCTAATGTTGTACATAATACACATATATATACACTAATTTGTAACTATGTATTATCTTCCGAACGTTTTGTCTATTATTGTTATGTGCATATTTCGTAAAGAAAAAGAGAAAAATACTCAGGTGTTAATAATAAATAAATACAAATCCGCAACTATTAATAGTAACATTGTTTGACTTTTCACGAAAACGAAAGTAACGAAAAATTCACTCAGTCTGTTTTGTAGAATCGGAAATACATTTATCATAATCTAAATAAAAATATACTATGTATTGAAGATAATGCATGTATACAGTTATATGCAAAGTTCTATTTACAAAATAGAACTAAATACGAGTTTGTCATACCTATAAAAGTAATTGAATTTTCAATGAATTTTGAGAAAGAAATATTTACATTTCATGTTTGATTTGATAAATACGTGAATCTAGCGTTTCAAATTACTGGATATTTCAGATATGACTGGACATAAAAAAATAATTTGTAATTTACAAGGTAAATTCATTAAAGTTGGGACAATCTGTTGATGATGATTCAAATCCCAACACTGGAATGAGTTTATGCTAGTCTAAACCAGGCGGAGCTGGTTCTGAAATATCAGTTTCCATAGTATCTGGTTTTTGTTCGATCGGATAATCACCGGGTGGTGCCTGCAAGAAATTCAAGGAAGAACTATTTGGATCAGTTCATATATTTATTTTTTCTTATAATAATATAAAAATCAACTCTTTATATACAAGTAGTTTTACTCACAATATCAAATTCATCATGTATGTCGCAAGGTGATTTACCCTGAATAACATCCATTATTGATTGCGGAATGTGCGCTTTCTGAAATATCACATCATTTCCGTATTAAATTTTTTGCATTCTTCGTAAAATATAAAACATAGAATAAGTATTACGGCATCAATAAAGTATATTGCAGGAAATATACCTGATTTTCGGCAAAGGCTTCGACATGCGCTAATAATGGTGCTCGTAAGTTACTCGCCATTTTTAACGCTTCGGCCAATTGTGCTGGAGGAAGTTGTAAAATAACCGCAAAACTTTGTGGTTGCGTACGTTCACAACATTTTACAAAACCCTCCCATACTTTTGGCTGTTTCCAAACTTGTTTGAGAATTAATCGTTGAAGTATATTCATAACGAATCCACTTAACCTAGGATATAATGCTAAACTTTGTATCACTGTACGCATGAGTAATGTAGGAAGAGGGGTCATCTCCATAAGATGTTGCATTACAACAGCTACAGTTTCTTGTGTATATATTTGTTTTTCCGCAAAACATAGGGACGTAGCTGTAAATTGGTATTAATAAATATAAAATTTGAATGAATAATTGGAGAAAAATCATTTTAAAACAAATAAAGAAATTTTATATGTCATACCTTTTATAACTGTTTTCAATTCTGCTTTGCTTGGATCTATATTATGCAAAGCTATTAACAATTCAGCAGGTGTAATAGGAGATGTATGAGGTACACCACTTTCATTATTATGAGTGCCTAACAGTCTGTTGAATACCTATAAAAGGAGGATCATTGTAATATATGATACAAAATTTTATTTTAAATTTAGGTAATATTATTTCATATCGTTTACCTCTTTAACAACAATAGGATTTAATTTTATGAGTTTTGGAAGAGCAGCTATAACTTCTTTTTTCGTTAAACCATTTAGAACTGGTATTAAGAATCGAACATCTGAAACTCTGGTCTGATAAAGTTCTCGTACTCTTGCTACTAATTCTACACTCGGTGCAGCTGAAAAGAAAAGAGATGTTAAATATTGTAATAGTTCTTAAAAAACTGTATATGATTAAATGTGGAAACATATATACATTTTTCTGTAAGGATATGAATAATTCTTGTAACTAGTGTTTCAGCGCCTTTAGGGCAATTTTCAACTAATGACAATAATTGTGGACTTCCCATTCCTAAAGATCTTACAGGTCCTTCTACTAGTCGAAGAACCATACGTTTTACATCTGCACCCATCGATGTATAAACTCTAGCCAATCTAGAAAACCAGTATTAATAGAAATTTGCATTTAACATATGCATTTATTAAGAAAAGAACTTACTCATGAATTAAATCTTGATGTTCACTTAACAGAGCAAGATATAATCCAAGACAAGCTCTTGTAGTTGACTCAGTCCACTGAGTTTCTACTTGCGGTCTACCTCGATCTTGTCCGAAGACGATCTCAGGTGGTGTATGTAGCCGTAAGAAACCTAAATAGAGAACTGCATACTCTTCTATGAGTTTACTTAATTCAGGACGACTATATAGTTGACAAACTAACTGTATAGCGGCTTCCCTTATCTATTTATGAACAGAAAATTAAGACACTTAACACGCACATATATACTAAGAACTACTGCCATGGAACGGCGGGGATTCGGGAGGATGAAGAGCGAAAGGGTTCTAAAGTGATGTACATATCATATTTGGATTACAAGATTAAATAATTATAACTTACCGTATTGTTTTCGTGGCCAGTATGACATAACAATACGTTTAGGAAAACTAATTGTTTTGTTGGTCTACGAATAACCATTTCTTTTAATAATTGTAACGGCATCAGTCCTCTTGTTTCATCAGAAGACACCATTTTCAAAGCCTCAACTGCATCTTCGGTGATTAATGGAGCTTCCAAGTATAGCCTTTTTAAAATTCACATACAGCTAACATTACATATTCTGCTATTAAATGCTTTATTGATATCACTTACCTATATAGTAATGTGTCACGATCTTTGCCTTGAACTAAATCTATTGCAGATACTAAAGTACATAATAAAAAATTGTAAGCCTGATGCGGAGCTTCTTGGGGCTTTGTACATAATGTAGTTCGTCTTTGGAAACCCTGAAGTAATGCATATTCTTCATACAACCAACCTAAAGCTAAATCTAAACGATTTCTCATATCGTCAGTAATATAACGTAATACTGCTTCTTTAATATATGGATTAAACGTTGCTGCTAGAGTAGTTAAAATTTTTGATCTAAAGAGAAATAACAAGAAATATTTTGTTTCACTTCAGGATATTTTTAAATAAATAAATAATTCATGAACTGATGTACCTTATGGCTGCTACACCACCAAATACAGCTGTCTTTTCAGAAAGTAAAATTCGATTCACAGCCATCAGTAACATTCTTTCTTTAATTTCTTTTGACAATGGTTTTGTAACTTCAGATAATTTCAAGGCTTTTAAACGAGTTCTTGCCTTTGCAAGCGATTTTTCATGTGCTTCCAGAGATGCCTTTGCTTCTTTTTCTTTTTCCCTATCTTTTTCACGTTTCCGCTCTCGTTTTGCTTCCGCTACACTAATGGTTGGATTTTTTACTAAATCTTCCATCACAGCATCTTCATCCTTTGCATCCTTTTTTTTCTTTGTTTTAGCTTGCCTTATTTGTGTCGCTAGTAATTTAGCAATCGTTTGTCGTTGAATATTTATATCGGTCGTTGAAGAAGGCTGATATTCTCTTTGAAAAATCGTAGTCATTGTGTCTGGGACCCACGCCTGTTAATGAATTGCGTTTGATACAAAAGATGAAAATATTAAAAATCCCAACTAGTTTTATACAAAAATATATTTACCATGCTATCCATTACTAAATCTGTAACAATGTCTACACTTAATCTTTCAGCAATAAAACTTTCTGAAAGTTCAACCAGTTCTGGTACTTTTGAGCTGGGTACTAAACTAGCCACAATTTCTGATTCATCTGGTATTAAAGAAGTTTCGATTTTAACACGCTTTGCAGCGGAAGACGCTGCTGCTTCCTAGAAAATCATATATATTTCAAATGTAGAAGTGATCGTTAATATATATCAATTAAAGCTGATTGTATATTTACTTGTTGTCGTTTCTTCATACGTCGAATATCTTCTGGTTTTGGATAAGCTTTAAGAATTTCTTGTTCTTTTGCTCCCAATTGAGTCAGTTGTTTAGCTATTGTGGATGCAAATTCTATGCTAGCTGGGTGCTTCATCAGTCCTAATAGAGTTAATTTTAATTGTTTTTGAACACTGGTTACTTGAGAATCAGATAATGTGGGTGGTAAATCATGTTGTAACCTTTGCAAAGCTGTAAATATTGATGTCTTTTATTTATAAATTTATTATGATTAAATTACATTACTGAATATTTTACGTACCTTGTATTACACCAGGCATAAACTGAGGTCTTGTTTTAGCAATCAATGCTAAAGATCCCATGCATGTCATCAAATTAACGCTACTAACGTGTGGAGATCCATGAAATTTGATTAATAAGTCCATTACATCATTAGCTTCTTCCTCTAATTTGCGCCTGCGTGCTATTTTTAATGTTAATGGAATATCTTCTAAAGAAAAATCATCCGACTTTTTTGGTATATCTGGGTCAGGGTATGTTTGTATCAAAACAACACCTTCAAGAAATTTCACAGCTTGTGTTCTAATCCTGAATAGATAAAAAGAAGAGAAATTAACATTTAACAAATATATATAAATGTACAACTTAAAGACTCTTTTTACCCATCATTGTCACTGTCAATCATATTTATAATTTGAATTTTGAGAGCACTAAGTTGATTCCATGCAACTTCCATTTCTGGCGTAACTGTAATGGCGCTAGATATCCATTTCAATGCAGCTCTTAATATTCTGCCACTAGCTCTAAGAGCTCTTTTAGCAACAGCTGATGATTCATCAGAAACTAGTCTTAAAAGTACCTGAACTACACGTGGAATTACCTCAGGTTGTTTTACACTGCAAATCAAGTATGATTATTTTATTAATGTGTGTGATGAAAGTAATATCACAACGCAATACATTATAAGTTCTATTAATGATCATTACCCAGCCTCTTCTATGAAACCTGTAACTGTTTTCCTAACTTCTGCATTCCTATCTAAGGAAAACTGTAATGCTTCATCCAAATATAATGGAAGTAATTGTGGCTCCTTGTTTATTAATATTTCCTGAACTTTACATAAATTTGCAACTTTTATATCTTCCCCTGGGTTTAGTGAAGCCTCATTTAACCATTCAACTATCTGTAAAATATAATCTAAATCAAAATACCGATTTTTGTTCGTATAGTAAAGACAATTGAAATTTTATAACTAGGAATTTTTCGGATTCTTCTAATTGAAATTTCTTTTAAATAATCGTCATAATTAATTGTTTAGTCACCGTCATAAATATACACGCATATGTATATACTGTAAATGCTTATTTTGTATCATAAAATGTATCTGGGAAACGACAATTTGAAAGGTTAATACACTGACCAAATCGCCTGGTCCTTTTTCCGGCTCTGTTCTTCTATGTATTCGAGGATCCATTATATTTAATAATAAATCATAAAACGCTAAATACAAGCAATGATTATTAAAGAAATGAGCTGTTGAAAAATAATTGTCCCAAGTTTCGATATGTTAGTTTATATGCGTTTCTTTTGTAGATTTCCCCCCACTTAAGACAGATAGTGTCTAATAATTTCAGCAAAGAATCTATATTTTTTTAAAAATAATTTTTTCGAATATTATGTTTAAATTTTAGTTAATGAACAATAAAAGCTGTCCTAACATTGAACGAAATCGTTTGCGTTGCCATCTTGGCATTTTTCCTTGACCGCTCAGCGCTATAATCGTCTCATGTTAACGAAGCGGGAATTTTAAGGTTTTATTATGTTCTTTATTAATTTTTCTACTAGGTACAATAGGTAATATATCTTGCACATTAAATTTTAAGTACAATGTATTAATTTAATGTATATTTTTAAAAGCGTAATTTTATATGTAAGATTAACAAAGAAAATATTGTATAATAAAGTCATTATTTCATTTCACATAAATTGTATTTTCATATATACACGTATAATAAGAGAAACTTTTAGATGGATTGTCTAAACAAAATCTTAAACATTTAACATTTTTAATTTGTCCCATAACTCGTAAAGTCTGGTATCACTTGTAGCATAAAAATAAATAGGTTTAAAAGTTATCAATATATTCGCTTGCAGTAGCAAAGGTCAAGTAGATTTAATCAGTACATATATACTTCGTCTAATTCCACAAATATTAGTGGAAAAATTGTTTGGATTAAGCGAAAGATATAGCTCGTTATTGAATCATAAATACTGTTTGTACGTATGCTAATCGCTCAAAGTTAATCTATCATCCGCCGAGTAAGGAAACGTAAAGTAACGTTGTGCATTCACACTATTAAGTGACATGATTTCAAGTTTTTATGAAAAAATTGTTGGTACGTCTTCTACAGCGGAGTCAAACCAGCAGAAAATTCTTTGTATTGGATTAACTTGTTTGGATATTGTACAAACGTGCAAACAATATCCCGCAGAAGATTCTGATCAAAGGTAAGAGATATTTCTATACGCGATTGCGCAGTGTTATTCGTTCATTGCTTACGTCGATCAGCTGATATTGACAAAGATATAAACAACGTATAATTATCATTTTTAACTGATATGTATATATATATATATAATAACTTTGTACGATCTTTATAATGAATAAAAATATATTTTTAATACTTGTTATGCTACTGAGATTAGAATTTATTGTTCTAATGTGATTTACAGATCTGTAGAATGTCGATGGCAAAGAGGAGGTAATGCATCTAATACTTGTACGGTTCTTTCTCAATTAGGGAGTCCGTGTGAATTTTTTGGTACTTTAAGTGCTGAAGAACATTTAAGTTTTTTGCAAAATGATATGCGGAGTTACAATATCGACTTTTCTCATTGTCCTATGATAGAAGGTATAGGGTGTCCAATATCTACTGTTATGCTAAGTTTAAGCTCAGGGTCTCGTACAATTTTACATCATAATCCAAATCTGCCAGAGCTAACATTGAAGAATTTTGAGCAACTACATTTAGAAGATTACAGTTGGATTCATTTTGAAGGTAGAAACTTGAATGAAGTACTATCTATGATGCAGTGTGTGGAAAATTATAATAACATGTTGAATTATAGTGAAGATAGCAATAGTAAAGAAATCGCTTCTAGTCAAGTGCCAATTACTGTTAGTGTAGAATTAGAAACTCCAAAACAAGAATTATTAGATTTACTACCTTATGTCGATGTAGCATTTATCTCTAAAGATTTTGCCCAAAGTAGAGGACATGATAATATGAGTGAAACATTGAAGGATATTAGCGGAGATGCTAAATCTGGGTATGAATCCATATAAAAAAATACTTTGAATTTATGGATGAAAAATTGATGTATTATGAAATTCCTTTTTTTTCTAGGGCAACTCTTATATGTGCTTGGGCTGACAGAGGCGCTATGGCAAGAACTCCAGATAATATTACAGTACAATCTCCTGCATTTCCACCACAGAAGGTTGTGGATACCTTAGGTGCTGGAGACACCTTTAATGCTGCTGTGTTACATTATTTAAATAAAGCAAAACTGGAATTCATTAGAAAAAAAAAGTTAGAATCATGCAAAACGAATAGTGCCTTACAGAAAGATGTAAAAATCAAACGTAATATTAAAATGAATTATAATATTGAAAGCTTAGAATGTAGCCATACAGAATTTATTACACAAAATGTCCTGCAAGCAGCTGTAACTTTTGCTTGCCAAGTAGCTGGTGCTAAAGTTGGTTTGAGAGGATATAATAAGTTAGATAAAATTTTTAAGGATGCATCAAAAAGTTAATTTGTAAAGCATTGTATCGAGTTACATTATATATAGATATTTTATAGAACAGACTGCATAATTGGTTATAATTTGTAGCATAGTTATTTTATTTGCTTGCATATTTATTAACAATTATTTTTTAGTACATATATACATATATTATATGTTTCTTATGTAAATATTAAAAAACATCTTACTTACATTTTACTTATTACACGAGTTATTATTACCTTTATAATTAAATCTTTACAAATTACTAACGATAAATAATAAAAATTACATCTATATTTAATAATAAAGGAATTACAGATACACAGAAAGTTTATAAGTTTACAAGAAGTAATTGAAGATGATAATTATGATTAAAATTAGCAAAAAATATTATTATGTATTGTAAAATAAACATTTTCGTACATAACCTATTACAAAAATATTAAATATTCGTTAACATTCTGCATTTAAACCAGCATTTAGAAAGTCTTTTATGCGTTCTATGCATGTAAATGGTAGAAACCTAAAATTGGGAGAAATGTTATCAAATGATGAGAAATTTGTAAAATATATATATATATATATATATTACAAATCATATGTATGTATGTATAATTACACACCTCAAAATAATGTTAACATAACGCCAATATGCGGGAATAGAAATCTCTTTGGTGTTTTGCCGTTGCGCTTTAACTATTACATCAACTGCCTGTTTTGTTGAAACCAAAGACAGTAGGTTTTTGAACCTAATTAGAACAAGTTATATAAGTATTCTTTGTTATGTATATGATATAATTTAGATGACAATTATTTCTTCACATTTCGTGAACAATGTATTTATTTTATTACATGACTTCCTATGCCTCTAAGCCAATTATCAAATTTACATGTAAATATATATGAACAATATTACTCAATAATGCTATAAAATATAAAAAATATAAAATATAAAAAAAATTTGTCCAATTATATAATAAATATTTACTAATAATTTTGCATTATCTATCACTTGAACTAACGTTATACAAAATATTTTACCTGTAATATGGGTTTTTGCAAAGTCCTGTATTGACCATATACGGATAAACTGTTGTGAATTTTATATTTAGTGGCTTTTCCTTATTCATCGATCGTAACTCTTCGTACAATGCTTCCATCAACCCTAGAAAATCATCATCAAAAGAAAGTAGTAACGTAAAATATTTAAATAAAAGTAATAATATGGACATCAGTTTTACCTCTTACTGCAAACTTTGAAGCGCAGTAAGGAACTACATTGCATTGGCCGAAAATACCAGCTATCGATGAAAGAGCAACAATATGACCGTAATTTCTTTGAATCATGCTAGGTAAGAAAGCTTGGAAAATCTATGCAGACAAATTATTTAATTCACGAGTGCAATAGGGGAGGAACCTTTTTATAAAAAAAAGTGTAAAATAAATTACCCAAAAATGTGCTAGCACATTGATATCGAATATTCGCTTAATTTGCTCGGGTGTATGATTCATTAAAGTTAAACAAGTCATTATACCAGCATTATTAATTAAAATTGTCACATCTCCTACTTCCTCTTTTACTTTTTTAGCTACTTTAAGCACTTCTTCTCTGTTCGATACGTCGCATCTATGAATTATAAAAAAATACGAATTTTATATCGGAAAATATGTCATAAGATTTCTACATACTTGTAACCGTAAGCTTTTAATGTGCCGTTTTGGTTTATTTCATTTACTGTTTCGTTGTTTCCTTCTTCATTTACATCCAAACAGACAACGATTGCTCCTAATGATGCATATCTTAATGCTAATTCTTTACCAATACCATGTCCAGTACCTGTAATCTATACAAGATACTTGCTCGACAAGTATTATATTCAAATATTCAAATTATTTATATGACATTAAGCAACCGTCAATAATCGTATAATGACAAGATGATGGAGATATAGTCGATGCAAATTATAAAGGAACGAATTGTAGAAAATTGTCGCCAGAAGTCGGATATTAATTAATCGGATATTAATATCTAAAATGATTATTTGGAAAATTGTAAATATTTGGAATAATAATTAGTTTGTAAAATACCAATACAATTTCGCCGATTACGCTTTTCTCTTCAACTGGTATACATAATCTGTATATTCCTAAGACAATGTCATAAAGTATTTTCAGCAGAAGCAGCAATGTATCCAATAGAACTAAAACGGTTTCCCACACCTGGACCATAATTCCTTTAAATAATTTCCTGTAAAAAATGAATTAATAAGCAAAGACAATATATCAGATTAAGAACTGTACAGTTTAAATTTTGCAATCAAAATCTCCACCAAAATTTTTGTCGATCGTGGTAGCGTACGAGTACGTAACACACAAGAATTTAAGACAAGGATAACATGCGAACTGAACGCGGTTCGTGGTTATACGAAACGTATGTATACCGACACGTATCCATTTTCCTTAAGGCTAATTTGAGATCTCTGAACACGCGGCTGACCTTCTGGAAATTAGGTAATTTTGAATCGTAAGAGTCAAAGTAAGCGGAGATTATCACTAGAAATGCCAAATTCTTCCACGATTTGAATATGAGTGAAAAATCAAGAAAGCTATTTAGGAATAGTAAGAACAGTACTCGGTTTGGCATTTGGATCGATATATCTCATATAAATCATAAATTTAATTTATTTTCTGCCTTTATTGTCTTGTTTCTGTTGTTACTTGTTTCACCGTTTCATCTCTTATTGCTTTCTGTATTTACTGCACTCTGATTGTGGTGATGTAAGAAACTTAACAAAAATTTGATATTAAGCGAAACGAACCTGCCTTTATAGAAAACAGACATTGACTTACCCGCTTAAACTATTTATATCTGGGAAGAACAAATAAAAAATTCATTACTAAATTTCAATATTAAATTTCTTTTTATGCGTTTTCGTTCTAGGCTCCATGTATACGAGCGATTTCTAGCTCCTCGATATCGCTGCAATCGTATGTCTTCCTTTGTTGTTCTTAACTGGGAAAACAAAGAAAGATATACGATCGCGGCAATATCGCGCGGCAGGAGTCGCTCCTTTGCAACAAAAGCATTTTAGAGCGCCTTGTATTGTTATCATAGAGATATAAAGATAGAGTGCGGGAGTCATATGTTACCGTGTAAGTGGATACGATACGAGAACAGGAAAGAGATCGCTGTATAGAAACTTCTTGCGTTCTTTTATAATAACGCATACGTATTCGCGCAGTAAATTTAAGTGTAAGACGGATCAACAAACGACATTAATGCGCATACTAGATTAAACAAGAACAGAAGATGCATCTGTGCAGCGTTCTCGTCCTGTTTTCATATTGCATCCAGTTATATCTGTATGGTTACTATAGTAAGTTTTATTGTTCAATGGATTTGGTTTGCCTTGGGTTTGGGAATAATTACTCGATACAAATCAATTGGAATAAGAAAATGAGTGACAATATAAAATTATAGTAATTACAGTGATTAATAACAGAAAGAATAAGCATAAGAATTAATAGCAGAAAGATTATTAACTTGTGATAATTTTCTTCAATATATTAACAACGAAACGATTCTTTTCTGGAAACCATGATGATCTTAACGAGCTTAATACATTAATGGAGTTAGATGTTCCTAAGATGATGATGGTTTAAAAATAATTTCAAATAATACGAAATTTGACATATGAGATTTACAAACTTTTATTTAAAATTCAGACTAAAAATAGGAGTTTCGTTAATCGGTGGAGAACAACCAACAGAATTTTTAATAACGTAATATCCTTTTGTTTTTTATAAATAAACGTAATATACACAGAGTTTTGATGATCTTCCTAAAGATTAAACTAATTTGTCGTAAAAATAAAAAATGATGAATGAATAAGAATTCGGTTTAACACGATATAAGAAACAACACACGAATAGACACGACGAAATGTCGAAGAATTACTTACCAACGATAATAGCAAACAGTGTTAAGGTTAAAAATAAGTTAAAAGTAAAAAGCAAGTTAAAGTAAAGTCCGGCTAATTGAAAGAGTGAACTTCTCACGAAGGAAATGTACGAGTTCCTTTAGAAGAGCATTCAACGATGCACTCGTGCGGCGTTCAAACGTTAACTAAGCTAAACTGTCTGGGTACAGTGCTTTCCTATCAATAACATCGGGAATCTTTGCATCGCTGTGGACTGGCTTTCGTGATTGGCTATAGGATAATCTCAAATATCAGACACAATATCAGTTGGTAACGTGGGTAGTCGTGTGTAGAATACGGTCCGATGATGCGTCATTATATTGAAGTAGTTAGTCGTGTAATAAGGTTACATGTTAGAATAGTATTACATGCCAGGAATAGAGCATTAAAATAATAAAGTAAGCGCTAAATTAAGTAATTTTATATTTCCGACATACGATATAAATAATTTTCGATGTTTATATCTTTCGTATAGAAATGGTCGAAACGTATGTCTCGTTTAAATGTACATATCATTGATAGGAAAGAATATCTTGATTCCTACGTTTATGATCGCTCAGTGGATAAAAGTTATTGGAGAAAAAAGATATAGAGAGAAAACGCTACAAGAATCGCTTCCGTTGTAGATTCGAGAGAACTGTTTTTGTAATGGATGTAATGAGATGTATAGAAATACGTGTCGTTCGTGTAGCAACACATCTTTTTCCAAACGATCAGTTCGAGGAAATGAATTACTCGAGATCATGTGCATGAGATTTCTTCTTTAATTAGTTTTATTTTCATCATTTTTAGTAGTATATGTTGTGGCACTAAGGATGCTTACTTGAGATCATCAAATACTACGATCAAAATCATCGTCACGATGACCCATGCCTGATAAGTTTTACCAAAGCACAATCTCAGTGTGGAAAAAGATGCGATCGTAATATTCGCTGTTGTAGATGTCAACAATATGTCTCATGAAAAGTCGCAAAGGCTGTCTAAAAAGAATTGAAAAATAAACAGTAATTGTCGATATTGTTTATTTTGCGTTTGTTTTTTTTTGTTCACTTTTCTTATACACGATATAGTTGATATGCATTATCAGTGAACTTTATTACGATTAAGTGTAAGAACTATGATAAACATGGTGAAATATTGTAAAATATCTTCATAGAGAAATATTACCAACATAAAAATATATGTCATTACAATTTTACTATTTTTTCAAATAAAGTTTAAATATTTATAAAAAGATGATGCACGTGCACATACAGTAAAGATGTACCAACTAGGGCTTTGGCGGATTAATCCATTAATCGGCTTTCATTTCATTTTAAATACTGCTATAAAATACATCAAATTTATAATTGTTTAATATCACGAACGCAAAGAGAAAATTTTTATCATTGTTTCTTATATTTATTTTATTACGTTTTGTTCCTTCGTTTTAAAGTTTTAAAACTTTAAAGTTTTTTATTGCGATAAAATTAAAAAAATAATAACCAGTTCTTAATTAATTGGTACTTATTTAATTTATTTCAATAAATACTAATTATTACTTGTTATATTTTATAATGTAATAATTATATTACATTCAAGTATGTACCTATAAGTAAGTATACTGTGTTACTATATATTAAAAAATATTAAAATTATACTAATGGTAGTAAAGAAAGAACATTCTATTTTTATTTCTATGCTTCATCAAGTTATTAATACATAAAAATTCAATGCCGATCATTCGACGTCTTTCGCCTATTAGTTGCCGACTAATTATCGACTATAAAAGTGGTCGGATAGTCGACCGCTAGTCGATACATCTCTAGAGTACACCAAGGTATGTTAGAACGAATGGAACTGGTTCTCGAACCACGTTTGTTATAGCGCAGGTGAGGTGTAGCTCTGTATCTGTACAGAGGCTATAGCATTTATTCGCTGTGGCGTACATTGAAACATATGTATTTAGGAGTAATTGTATTGTATTTGTATTGTAAATGTATTTAGGCCTATAATTAAAAGCAAAGTTATCACTTGTACAACGGTTTAAACACTGGAAAAATGTAATATGAACTACAAAGTAAGTGGTAAAGATAACATAAAATTTATTTATTTAGTAGGTATCATAAAATAATGATTGATGCTAGCCCAGCCGTCTTTAACTCCTATCTTTTCGTGAACAAATATGGTTCATTGACTGATACGATACTTGTTCATCCTGGGTCACGGTTGTTTATATGTGTGCTATTCACGAGTTTTTAGGCTGTTTACAATTAAACGACAGAAAGAGAGATAAGCACAGATTCGTATCATCAGTTAATGTTTACTCTTTATCATTGCAAGAAAGACGGAGTGAGAAAATCGGCGGAGCGGTCGATATTTCTCTGTGTTCGTTGTAGTATTTTTGTACGCTATAGTATTTTAATTTGTTATAAAAATTATTCGCTATAACATTTGTTCATTATAGCACATCTTACTGCACATCGGGGCCCATTAGCTCAGATGGTTAGAGCGTCGTGCTAATAACGCGAAGGTCGTGGGTTCGATCCCCCCATGGGCCAGAATATTTTTTGTCACTTTATTTTTAAGAAAGACAAAGGATAATTTACGAAAATTGAACTATGCAAATGTTTTTTGTAGTACTTCTATGCTCTTCTATGCTAACTCTTCTATGCTGAATCATCGGGAATGACTTTTGGTTCATTGACTAATCCTAAGTACATTGCTTTAAATTATTAAGGACGGGGCTATTGACTAAATAAATATAGGATAGGATCATAGAGATATAAACACTGACTGCACGAGTGAGCTGATAAAACGATATAGGAACAGAAAAAGAACACTGCATAGAGGCCACTTATGTGTTTGTCTATGATGTGTGATAATGATGTGTATGCACATTCGTACAGTAAATATGTCAGTGTAACACTGTAACATCGACGAGCAAGCGGCATCAGAGTTACAGATGGGGTATAGGAATAGACGCGATATATAATGCTTTTTCGAATTCTTTATTTTGAGGGTTATCACGGTGATACTACACGGTCGCATGCAGGTCTGAAAACTCCCGTAGTTGGAGTATAAGGTTCTTAGTGATCGGATGATGTTGGTCAATTTGTTCGCAGTAAAGTGCTTCAATCGAAAAGTTAGGATTCGTTGTATAATGCCATCGTGTAAGAATAACCCGAACCCGGTTGTCCCTGTTTTCTTTACTCTCTTCTTAATGATCGCGTACTCGACTCGCGCTGAACCGAGTAGCAGGAAGGATGAAAGGAAAATAATTTTGTCTTAGATATATAATTATTATGGTTATATTATTATTTTGTATGTAACTAATGTACCATAAATGTTATATAACATAAATTTTTTTTTATTATTAAAAACTTCTGCAATCTCTAAAATTATATTATAACTTTGCATTTTCAATACAAAATTTAATAACATTGAAATGTTTCAATCATGAATAATATTTTGGATACGATATTATTTATATATATTATAGATAATGTTAATAATTATATAATTTTTTAATGAATTTAAAACAGCCAAAAACAGATTTACTTTCCAATAAATGCATCAAATGTAAAAGTATTAAGTGTATGTGTACATATTTGATTTACAAGTTGTAATTTTGTTATATTTTCATTCAAACAACATTTTTCTGTATCAAATGAAATACTGTATATGTATTTATATTGAGTAAATGATGAAAAATTATGAAAAACAGTTTAGTTTAGTTATTGAGCAAGCTTAATGGTTTGGTTTAGATTCGTTACTTTCAATGCTTTCATCGAACGATAGTGCTAAATACAAAATCCTAACTTCTTGATTGCAGCGTTCTGTGGTGGCTGATTTGTAAAACAACTCTCGACTACACGATAACTCTTTACATTAAGAACCCTACTGTCCCAACAGGAACTTCCAAACCTGTGTATACGACTGTGCTCTATGCTCTATCTTTATGTACCTATGGATGGGATAGGCCTGACATTATATATATATATCAGAAAGGAAATTTTCTTTCTGTATGCGTATGCATACACCGATGAGATACATATATATGTACATATATGGGTACACTAATGCAGTACAGGTTTTGATCTATTCCTAGCTTAATATGTCTATTTGTGTCACCCAATAATAAGCCGCTAGATCTATTTTCTATCCCAGAAAGCTAGGCTTCAACCCACATGAGAAAACATGGTTGAAGAGAAGTCGATAACCGAGTGAGAGCGAGTTTTGTTTTCATAATTACGGCAACTGTTGGTTGGAGGCGCTAGTGGTCATGAAAGTCGATCGCGTACGATTTGACACGAATCTCATTGAGTCGATCGTGCACCGTAGTTGTGCTCCAGCTAACGAGCGAGTAGGATTGTAAAGAATTTTCTCTGTTCGTGTTCCATTCGTAAGCGTTGTTTTCGATTTCCGCGTCGATCTTCTCGCGTATAACAAATCAATCGACGTAAAGATGACTTCCCTACGATCTTATTGTTGAACGAGTTACTTATGGAAAGGCAGTCAAAACCAGCCGTCAGTATGATGCAGGAGATCACAGACCAGTCCTCCAGGACTGTCCTCCTGAATACGTTTGTGGTAAAAAAGAAACGGTGCAGAGTCTACTTTCATCGTGGCACTCTCATCTGGGAAACGGAGAAACCTCCATATAGTAAGTACAATTAAAATTCACATGTGAGGATTTTATCGTCGATTAATCGAATAATCTTTGAAAATACATCGAGAAAGACTCGTTGTGAGTATGTGATAATTAGACTGTGACTACAGAATACATGTAATGTGCAAAAATATATAAAATGTCCAAAGTAAATATAGTCATAACATTTAGTAGGGAAAACATAGATCTCTATTTGGACCCTATCTCTTTAATTATATTCACGAGAATATGAAATTGTATAATTGTTCATATTTTAGCGAAAATTGTCTGATGGTTGTTTTTATGAAATGAAGACAAAGAAGCAGTAGACACGGTTAGGACGATTTTATCGCCTGCGCTTTAATGCCTTGTTGTTGTTACCCTAGAGAGTACGGTATCGTGCGCAAGACTCGGACTAAATTTTCTTAATTTTATCTGCCAGAACATATATATATAAACATGCATATACATATATATACATATATATATATATACATAATATACATATATATACATCGCCCTTTATAAATATTAAGACACTTATGAAAGACGAGATAAATCTAAAAAATCATCGATAATTTATTCTTAATCTTTAGAATCTTGCAATAACTTCCTATCTAATTTTCTCATGGTTTAAATTGTAAGATTGTTATTCTCTGTAATGTTTTGATACTGATATTTGGTATATTGATATACTGGTATATTGATATTGATTGTAAGTTCCTTATTCATTAGTTCCTTATAAATTATTTCTTGTGTATCAATGAAAGGTATAAATTGCCATTTAAAATACATCTTTCTTCCAATCATTTTTAGTCTGTTATCATTCTCTAAAACATTTAATTGTAATATTTATCCTCGAAAAATATTTCTAGTATGTGTTCAACATTTCTTGATTATCTTTGAAATGGCATTTACTATCACGAACCGAAATATCGAATATTGGATCGTTCACTTAATCATAGATATCGTAGTTCGTACGTTTCGAGTTTCGTCCCATTAGATTGCAATTCTCAAGAAGCTCAACGCGCCTTATTTGAACTTATCCCTTCCGCTGAGAAACTCATTTCCTTATAATTCCACTGTTTTCCAAGAATTGACCGATTATTTTTATCGTTTTTTTTATCTTGGAGGATTTGAATGGACGTGAATAGGATAATAGGAAATGAGGAGCGAATTTACGGTTCTGCGATGGAATCGTACGACTCGTCACTTTTCCGGAAGCTGTTAATGGGACCACAACGACTCTGGTGTTTATAGAAACGTTGTTCTTTTTTTTTTTTTATTATACATCAGTTGTTGATAATGAACGGTCTGAGGGTGGGTAGGTCGTGATAAGTACTGAAGGAACACTCGAATATATTTAACAATAAATATTTATTAATATATATTCTATGTGTACACTTATGCATAGAACTCGCGGTTACTATTATCGGTTCGCGATTACAAGTTCGAACTCGGGTCGATGCGTTTCGATGTACGGATACAAGTTCGGATGATGATTGCCTAAAAATGTCGAGAAGCTCGGATCAATTATTACCAGCCATCAATTCGAGCAGGCGTCTGACGACTGACTTTCACGATGATGCTGCATAGAAAAACTATGATGGGGTGTGTCTAAGGATACGAGATCATCGGATTCGTTGAGGAAAGCAGCCTTGGTTCGGAAAGTGAGGGAAATAGACGTCGCTGTTAATTGGCTAATTTTGTGTTGGTGGCTGGAAGAGGATGCTAACCACCCTTGAGAAAAAGTTGCTAGCGGCAAGCATCCCGTAGTGGCTGAGTCCCGAGTCCTGTTAAGGACTGTTAAGAAAAAGACTTGAGGTGTATGTGTTGTCCGTGATAATTGTAGCGCTGGTTGTAGATGCCGCTGATGGGGAACTGCTATTTTTTTTCCAATTTAGGATGCATGGAAGAAAAATCGGACTCCGATCGCCGGGATTCGAACCCGGGGTCCCGAACGTTCGTAACCTAAGGCGCTAACTACTACGCTGCCGTCGTTAGTCTGCTGCACTAGTTAGTGTCAAGTGGTGGTATTTGCTGTTGAGTGCCGCCACAGACTATTTGTCTCTTTGGAAAACATTAGCTAAATAAATCCTAAGACTCATGGCGGGTCCTTAGGCTAGCTGAAAATATTCTGCGAGGATGTATCATTTTGCAATCTTGTGACATCTGGCAATCATCTTGTCCGAAGAATAAGGTCTTTGTATAGTGAGCCACGGGACAGAAACCGTTGGAAAGTTTACTTTCGAGCGTCGCTACAGGTCGTATTGCAGTTTATCTTTATCAGGGAATATTGTCGTTATTATCCGTACTAGCAGCGCGGAGCAACACTTGGATGAATATTAGGCTAGTAGAATATTCATCGCTAGAAATGAAATGTTTTCTATTTGGAACATATCGCTAAGGAATTGATCGTTATCAACGAATCGAGTGGTCTTTCAAAATATTTTAATAATAGAGATTTAAAATACTTTAATGAAATTAATAACATTGTTTAATAAAACTGTAATATCCAATCCGAGGTATCGAGTTTTCAAATAATTTTATGAGAAGTTTATTCGTCGAACCAACACGAGTTCGGATGAAATTATTAACAATTGATCGAAGATTGAGTCAAGGACCAGTCAAAACCACAAGTAGCGGACCAATTGATTGCACTCTCGAGTTGTTCACGAAACGATCGATAGGTACGATAGGTACGGCTTGTCCGATCACGTTGTATCACATTGTTGTTTTGTAACAAAGTCTCATTCTGATTCTAAAACATGCGACGGATGATAAGCGTGACACATGACATTGAAACAATAATCTTTTACAGATATTATTCAGTATATCAATTTATTGATAATTAATTCGATCATTCGGATTAGTGATAACGACGAACAAGAAGAAACTTGTTTTGATAATTTTACAGGACGTTCGTTTGTTTGTTAAAGAAAGGGTTAAATTAATCTTATAATATAATATTTAAAATATAAATATTAACATTTTTAAATATTATCATTAAACATTAAAATATAGAATTTTATAATATAATAATTTCTTTTTTCTCAATTTCTCAACAGGAAGTCTTTTAAGAAATTTTTACAAATAATATTTCAATAAACTGATTCCGTACTGTCTCACTTTTGCACGAAGTTGTATGTAATATCCAAGTTGCATAGCGTTGTAAAGAATTAACAGATAACTCAACGTGTATCGCGTATAAGCACGGAATATCGATAGATTTTCGGCGATTGGCATCCACTTCATAGACAGCGACATATGTAGAGAAGGCGTGTCCTTGAGTCTTGTTTACACATAGTTCCGTTTCCGTGTATTCGTGTGGACGCTGAATATTAAAGAAAATCGCGCGAATCTCGACAGGTCTTCTTTACGCCTCTCACGATCCAACCTTGATCTTTCTTGTATACCTTGATCTCTAATCTCTACTACGATATTCAACGTATAATCGTTCTTTTCTTCGTCTGTTTCTTATCTCGATGAGTTGTTTCTTTCTCTCTTTCAACGTTCCTATCTGTTATATTTTTTATAAATTACACGAAAGAATTTTATACTGGGACTTTTATTTCTATTTTATGCAAGATATTACGATGTAAGATAAGATGTGAGATAAGATTATACTTTGCGTAGATTCGGATGCTCTGGGAGTGTATAGGATCGGTAAAACGTTGACGTTGTCACGTAGGAGACACAAGAAATCGCGAAATTGACAGATCACCGGTGATTTTGTGACGACCATACCCAAATCCACGTCATCCCGTACTACCTGATAGCGATCTCTTAGGCTTTGATCTGACTTTTACATTTTCCCCATTACGTAAAGCAATTAGGATCTGCTCCTTGCCACTCAACACTTACAAACGCAACATATAAAAACTGCAATCATTCGACCAAGAAGAGTCCTTTTTAGTCTTGAGTCTTGAATCTTGTGTAGTTTGGCCGTGATTTGAACAACTATTTTAACTTCGCTACTTCATCGTAATATTATACTTAATCATTTTCGTGAATAAAAGCTTACAAAATTATAAAAGCACAGTCAAGTTAAGTTATTTTTAGCTACTCCTTTTTTTATCATTAATTTTACGTGACAATCTCGTCGCGTCGCAGTTCGAACGTTTCACAAACAAGGTAAAGAATCGAACTTTAGATATAGCAGTAAAATTTATTGTACGAATCAAACAGAGTGACTGTTCAGAGTGTTATAATAAAAAAGTTATTGTTTCGATAGCTGTGGTATGTTTTGTGGTATGTTCTGTCTACCCTATTACTGCTTTTGAGCTGTTGGTGAGAAACAGAATGCGAGATGAAAAAGGTAATCGAGTTGAAGCGCGGTTACGCGTGTAAGAACACAGGCCAGAGAAGTATCGAAGATGAAATAAATTAGCGCTCCTCACAACGTTCTTCCCATTTGGTATTCTGTTCGCGTACGGTGATGCTAGTATACAGCGCTTCCTATTTGCATACGATTATTATCTCTTTCTTTTCTGCTCTCTTCCCGCTTTGTCTCTATCGTTGTTCGATTGCCTTCGTTAAAATTTTCTTCGTCTCTTGCAATTCCACGAATTTCGATCTCGATGACCTGCACAAATTCGATGAATTACCGCCGTTCATAAATTCGGGAAGCATCGATCTCGATAATTTGCAAATTCAATAAATTCTCCATCATCTTAATTCGAATAGCTGCGATTCGAATAGATCCAATGGGAATTTTGTCGACTCGTTACGGTAAAATTCGATCGGTACCGATATAACCATGGTCACGATCCCCAAACGATTCACCGTGGTCGAACGCAAATTCGTATAAACGCATTCCACTTTGATTCTTTCGAATCGAATTCTATCCACGTTATCGGTCCAACCCGTTAAGGTCAAACCACACGTTGGCCGCATTCTCCTCGATTCTAGCAATTCAACCGGTTACCTGTTTCACTTCTCCCATCTTCGTTCCAACTAAAAGTATTTGTAGCGTTTTGCTTCCGGAATAAGATTAACGCGTATCGTTAACGATG